TACATCTTCTTTTACTCCATTCATGATCTTTGTTTTTAAGCCTTGAAACACATAATACAGTTAAATATATAGAACACAGAGTTAAAAGTTCAACCTTCACATACTTGATAAGTAACTCTCTAGACATTTGTAGTTCAGTGTTGAGTTTCTTGATTTGATTCTTTTAATAATCACATTTGACAGTAAGTCTTTCATATTCAACAAGTACCTCTTCAATATCATCATAATCACCTTCTTCTTCTTTATTATAGACTTTAGGAACTTCATGTAAGCCCATGAACAAATCTTCATCTTCTGGAACCTCTCCTTTATCCTCTTCTGGCGTTAAATCCTAATCTGTAATCAAATCATTCTTTCCAAATTTGTTAATGTTGTTTAGAGCTTATGGTTTTCTTTGATTTTAACTTTTGTTTGAAAGACAGTTAGCTATAAAGTGTCTAGGCTTTCCACAACCATAACGAGTTTGATTTTGAGCTTGACCTTTCTTCCTGAACCTGAACTTTCTGAATTTATTTGCAAGATAAGCCACTTCATCATCTTCTAAATCATCCTCAGACTTCTATTCAATTTCTTTTACAACTTCTTTGGCCTTATGATCTGTTTCTTTTCTTTGTTGAGTGGGAGCTCTAATTCCCATTTCATAAGCTGTGAGTGAAGCTTGCAGATCATCAATCTTCATTGGAGACATATCATTGTCTTTAAGTATAGTGACATTGGCATTGAATCTAGGAGTTAAGGACCTGAGAATCCTCTTACATATATCTGAATCCTTCATATCATCACCAAGAGCTTTAATATTGTTGACAATTTCATTGATCCTGAACAAGTATTATGAGATAGCCTCCCATTTTACAGCTTTCATATTGAACTTTAAGAAGTTGTATCTTGTTTCCTTGATCACATTATTTTCTTCATAAGAAGCCTTGAGTGAGTCCCATATTTCTTTGGCCGTTTTACAGTTTTTTATCCTGGTGAATTCTTATTATTTGAGAGTACAAAACAAGGCATGTTTCACTCTTCCATCATTTGACAAGGAAATCTTGTCATTAGTAGAGGGATCATCTGGACTGAGAACCACCACACCAATAATGGTAGCATGCCACAAATCATAAGATTGAGACATTAGAAATGCTTCCATCCTGGTCTTCCATGAATCATAGTTTGAACCATTAAACCCTGGTGCTTTGTTAGTGACTTGACCTTCATCCATACATCAAGATCTTTTCTGTAGGCTAGTTAAGGCTATGGGTAGCAGACGAAAGCTCTGATACCAATTGATAAACCAAGAGGGGGAGGGGGTGAATTGGTTCTTGAATTTTCTCTCTTAAGTTTCAAAACACTTTCCTTAATGAATATAATCACCACAACTTATAAGGGATGTTCACCGATATCACTAGGGTTTTGAAACCATAATCTGTCACAAGTGTTTGATGCAAAAATGTAACCACAAGTACACCAGATTTTACATGGAAAACCCCTCTCAATAGGGATAAAAAACCTTGGTTCTTGGGTATACACCCAATGCAAAATCCACTAGTTGTAATGTAAGTAGATACACACTCACCTGTCTCTCACTCTGCACACCCTAGCTCACAACATGTGCTCAAAGCACTCCCCCCTGTCCTAAGCACCCCTGTTTAGACCAAATAAGCTCTTATAACTCAAAAACTACATAATGGGAGATGTATAAACAATATAGTAATACTATTACACAAGATAAGAATGAATATATAGCTCAAAATATCCACAGCACCACGTGCTTAACAATCTTATGCAAAATTAGTGATCTGAAGGGTAAAAATGGAATTTAGCTTTACTACAGACTTGAAATTGGTTCCCACAACCTTATATCAATAGTGTACACATGCTCATATGTCAAACACATCAAGAATATCAAGGTATAATCAACACAATACTCAAACAGGCTTGGTTTCTATAGAAAACCCTAACTGTCACGGTTTGGTACATCATATTCTGAAATGGTCATGTTTCTGTGCAAATCTCAACTCATACATCCTCTAATAAACTATATAATCATGCTTAGATAGTTCACAACAAGATCACAACAAGAGATCAACAATATAAGCTTAATACAAAAGGACTAAACCAGAAAACACAATAAGTAGGAGGTCTGAGACATCAAAATCAACTACAGTAAGAATAAGAGTGAAAACACAAGTTCTACAGTTGTGAAATGGTAAAATAAACTTGCCTCAACCTTCACAATGCTCTGAAAATAGCTCAAACCATTTTGGAATCTTTGAACCTTAATTCTGTACCAGAAAACAACATCATGGAGCGTCCTTGATGATCAACACATTTGTGTTCACTCAATAATGGATTATGAGATTAAATGAAGCTCAAATCATAAATCCAACTCTCAGAAACCCTTGTTCATCCTTTGCTCTTGAGACACACACAATGCACCACACAAGAGGCTCACAATATACACTTACAAGTCTTTTCTGTTGTAGCTACTATAACAATGTATATATACTAGTACACAGAATTGTAGTCCTGCCCTAATGAGGAAAGAAATGTGGCACATTCCACCAATCATTGGTGAGGGAATATTTTGACATTCCCGGAGTGAAAGGACCACAATGCCCCGACCAACTTTGTAGATTTTGTCCTTTAGTGCACGAACAATATGACAACTCACGTGTATACTATATTTGATATATAAAATAAACTTGGTGCCAAAGAAATGAATAACAGACCTCACTCTCTCACTCTAGGACCACTGAACACGTGTCAAGCAAATGTTCTTCATACACAATAACCAAAATACCCTTCCAGAGTACACTTGTCAATATAAACAGAATTCTGTGATGCAACCTGTGTATACATAATCAAATTGAATTTCTGTACTGTAAATTGCAATGTAGCATCCAAGGCAGTTATATAATGGTCACACATAGGTGTGCAAAGATTGGAATGTCCCTGGTAGTGACAAAAACCCTAGAAAACACATTGCATCAGTAAGAAGGTTGTGTTTGGTCTGTATCACAATGTACCTTACTTGATCAATTTTAAATGAGCTCTCTCATATTTAAAATGACCATACAACCCCTGTACATCTCTGAAATAACCTAAGCACACCAGAATCCATGGTTTATCACTGTAATGGACCTGACATTTAAAAAGGAAAACCCTAGATCAAAGGTGGGACCAACAATAATGTTGCATGCACTCGACCCTCCTTGAAATCTGAAATGGTGAGATTCTCGTGCCTTGGGCTAGCCCTTTTTAGTTTTAAAGGCTATATTTATATTGTTACTCCATATAAATCTACGTGACAATAATTTTATAGACCGCGAGTTCTCGTGTTAATAAAAGTTGTTAGATACCCTTAAAACATCCATAAAAATCATTGGTTACCACAGTCTTTAATTGTATTCCCATTTTTTTTTATTCTTTAGAATTTTCTTAAATTGTATTATTTTTTTCAAGAAAATGAGTCTAGATTATTTTTGTTTTGTAAACAAATTTATGCTTTGGCTTAAAAATACTAAATAATTTCTTTTGCATGATTTTTTCTTCTTTTTTTTTTTTTTTTATAAATATTTTACTTGGAAGATGGAATAAAAATGAAAAGAGGGATTTGTATTCATAATTAACTTTGAAATTTTGATTTGATTTTTTTTTTTTTTAAAAAAAACTTCTAATAATTTGAAGAAAGAATATAATAAAAGAGAACTTAAAAAGACGCTTTTATAGATTTTCCAAAATAATGTGAAAGTGAGAGTTCAACGCTCTTATAGAATAAAAAATGACACTATTATAGTCCCATGTTTTGCAATGTTCGTTAAAAATGTCCCTTGTAAAAGGTTTTGGAAAATGAGGTGTCTAAGGTTATAAATGAATGTATGATACAAAAATAGGTTCGTTTACTTTGATATAAATCCGTTTGTTTCGACGTAAAATATATTTTTTTTGAAAATATTTTCCTTTTTGATTAGGTAAAATATTATTTTATTTTTACTTTTTCGGTGTTGGACAAAAGTCTACGTTGAGGTTGAGGTTGAGGTCGAGTCTATCGGGCGGGGCACGTAAAATAACTTGCCAAAAATTGATGGATAAGTTATTTTTTGTTAAATTTTAATATTTTTTTACTTCGTAAATATTTTACGATAACCACACACCAAAAAATAAAAAATTATTTTCTGAAAAATATTTTTCATCCTAACAAACGGAGCCAAAATATATATATTTTTTATTTTCTCTTTTGGATAAAATAATTTTTTTATTTTTATTTTTATTTTATTTTTTCGGTGTTTGACAAATGTTTAGATCGAGTTCATCAGAGAGAGTGTGTAAAATAACTTGCCGAAATTTGATGAGTAAGCTATTTTTGTTAACTTTTAGTATTTATTTTTTCGTAAATATTTTACGATAATTAAATATCAAAAAATTGAAAAGTATTTTTTATCCAAACGAACGAGCAATAGAGAGGGAAAAGTGCATTATTAGATAGTGGATCATCATAAGCTAGTCACCTTCTTCACACTTGGATCCTCCACACGTAAGAGTATAAATTTGGGCTTTTAATGGTTTGGAGAAAAGAGAAAGGATGAAAGAATTGCAATATATATAACTAGGTATAAAATTATAGTAATTGAATCAAAGAAAAGATATTAAAGAAACCTATGTAATAGTAGCCTTCCTATATCTTACTTCTTTATTGATCTCTTTCCTCAATTCTGTAACCTTGATGGAAGCTTGGAAGAGTCTTGATCATGTCTTTAATGTCTTCATGGCATATTCTTGGGAAAGTGAAGGAAAATGATAGAAATTGTTGGGAAAGTATGAGCAAGTGGGTGATGAGACTTTAGTTAGGTTGAATTTCAGTATGCTAGATGATCTGCAAATGATGGAGTAATTATAATGAAAATGCTGGTGTCAATTGGATGCAATTTTTTTAAGCTTTGCTCATTACATTGCCTCACAGAATCAAATGCATTGCTTCTTTGGAACTATAATATTGCTTCCTGTCCACATTTGCAAAAAAAATTACTATGAATATATATAATGTATAAAGAAGAACAAAACAATAATTTCAAGGTCCATCTTGTTGCAAGTAGGGATAAAATACTAATGTACATAGACAACTCTTCATCACAGATGCAGTTTGTAAGACCTGCATGCAATTGCCGCCATGTCATTCCTCATCTACAGAAAAATCAGGTTCTGCCGGCTTCTGTAGCGAACTGACGACACCGGAATCTGAGCCAGAGTGCTTGTTGACACCCCTCCTTATGCTCGCTGCCAACCTAGCAGCATACACAGCAAATCCTGAACCAGGTGGAGGCACATCTATGTCTAATAGGTCATATGATGTTTCAGACTCAGCAGCCATTGGGTTCTCTCTAGCCTTGAGTTCAGCCGCAAGCTTTCGTTTTTTAAACCGGCGATATGCTGCTTGTATAAAACATGCAGCCCATGTTCGCCACTGGTGCGAGTAGAACCTGAACTTGTGCCTAAGTTGTTTGCTGTGCAGTCTTCGAAATTGTGAAGCTACAAACTTCAAGTCCTCTGCTGCGAGAGCAAAGGCCTCTACTTCATATATGGCTTTCACCGTGCGAGTGGATGAAGGGAGGATGACACTAGGACGAGGGTCAAGCGCCCATGTCAGCAGTTCCTCACCGCAGAAGTCACCTGGACCAATGCCGCATGAATTGAAGAAACCAGTACGGCCACCATTAGTGGTGTAAGAATCAAGGTTGCCTCGAATTATGAAGAGCATTTCATTAACAGGGTCACCCTCGCGCACTAGGAAAGTGCCTTGGGTGCACAACGCAGGTTTAAGCCTCTCACATATTGCATCTAGCATCCGTTCATCCATTTGATCAAACAAGGGGACCTGTTAATACCATTGAAAAATAGCATCAGACTAAAATGAATTCTATTTTGTTTTGATCTGTAAACATCCTTCAAGTAAGATTGTGTTTGGAACCAACTCAAGTAATAATCATTTCTTTTTATTTTAAATGCTTCAATCTAGAGGAATGTGTTGCTGAGTAAAATCCATTTGCTTAAAGCACTATTGTGAAATTCCAAATTTATCAAATTCTTAAGATAAGGATGCATTTGGACTGACCTACCTACTTGATTTAAATAGGACCTATTCTAACTAGTCTACGAAGTTGGCAACTGAATCATTTTTCACCACTTTGCCATATTAAGGCAACATGTTCTGCTGAATAATTAGCCAGCTCTATCTCAAACAACAGTGTTTTCGGCCGGCCTTGTGTCCTTGTAATGCAGTTGTTAGCCTTTTGCTGCCATATGACTCTTATCTTCATTAATATTCCCCCCCCCCCCCCCCCCACACACACACACACACACAAATGCCATTTTGAATTATGAACTAGAAGTATGGTTTACTGCCTCTAAAATGTAAGAATTATTGAGAAGATTGAGAATGCAATATTTATAACTTATTCTTCAAACGATAGTATCATGACAGATGTGCAATATTTTGGGACTTACTCGTCGAACAAGATCTAGGCAGAGATGGCGCTTGATGTCTCTCCGGAGATCCATAGGAAGGCCTTTGAGAAGGGCTTCTTCATCAACTCCTCGAGTAGCCAGCCACTTATACTGATCATATTTTCGTACGGAATGCCTTAAATCTGGAGGTAGCTGCCTGTGATGCATCCATTGTTCTGTGTCAGTTCTCTTGATCCTCCATTCTTCTAATCGAACTGTTGTGGATTGGAGGTACCTCTACGAGTGAAATGTGTATCATTGTTTAGAATTACCGTAAATGGCAAAATTAAAAGATGACATTTTGAATCCTTTCAGTAGTGCTTGGAATTACAAGAATTGAAGAAGAAATTGTAATACATAATGGTTAATGTCTAAGGCACGAAACAAGCCTCCAGATCAGCCTTGCACCTCATAATTCAAAGAATAAATAACTGAGTCAAAAAGCATCGAAGGACTTACTTGCATATTCCCGATAAGCAATGCAAAGAGAACCAACCCCAAAGTTGCGATTATGATGGCAAAACTATTTTCTCCAACATAAGTGCTTGTGGAAAGACCTTGTCCAAGAGAACTGCACACAAGTTAACAAAAAATGAGCATTGCAATTTTTTTTTTTTCCTAATTAATGAACATTGGAATTATAGTACAAGATCATGCTAAACAATTAAGGGGAGCATTTGTGTCCAATTTGGTGAGGGTGGGCCTTGGCGCAATGGTGAGTCACGAGTTCAAAACGGGAAACAGCCTCTCCATGCAAAGGTAAGGCTGAGTATATCTGACCCTACCCAGATCCCACAATGGCAGAGCCTTGTGCATTGGGCTACCCTTTATTTGTATCCAACTTGGTCCAAGGTAATCAGATAAAAACAGTACATTCCCTGGCACCTTTTCACCTACTAAGCTACCAATTGAGAAAATTTTAATGACCTGTTTCATTGCTGAAACATGGATGAATGAAAAGAAATATGAAACTTCACTGTTAATTGGGGTTTACATGATTATGGTAAGATTCAAGGACATTCTTTTCCCCGTAGTGTGTGTGTCCCCTTCATATTCCCAGCAGCTAAACAGAGCAGTCTGATTGACTTGGCCAGGCTTGCTTGTTATTAATCAAGTAAGCACTACTTTTTCGTTGGAATTGAAAAGTCCTCTAATATGTTGTTAGTTGTAGTTATAAGACCAAACTGAAGTTGCTGAAATTCATGAAATATAACAAAAAGTGATCCTATAAGCAACAAGGAACAAACTTTTTACTATAATGGCAGGAAAAGGTGATTCTTCTTTTCTTTTCTTTTCTTTTTCTTTGAATTAAAAAAAAAAAAAAAAAACGGAAAGGTAATGCTTGTTGAGGAACATTGAATTTCCCCAGTAAACAGGCAGTTTCATCTAACCTCAGGTTCTGCAGGCCCCACCAAAGACAGTAGAAGTACTTGTTGAAGAACAATGAAGAAGTAACATTGGATGTCACCGCGTTGGTGTAGATGCCAAATGGATAAGAACCATTATTCGGATCACATGTGTTGGTGACATTGCTTGATTGGAACCAAGTGTTTCTATCTGGATCATTGACCTTTGGGCAATCAAAGAAGCTATACTGACAAGATGGATTCTCAAGATTGCAGACAAGCCTCCAACATGCTTCTTGTCTCTCTATTGATAAAAGATACCAGCAAGCTCCTATAACCTAGATTTTATAAACAACAGAAGAGCAACAAATGTTTGAGATGAATGTTTTAGTTTGCGCCACTAAGCTAAAATTTCATCCTAATATAATGTAATCACAGAGCCCACTTCAAACCATTCTTGAACCACCAACAGCTTAAGAGAGTACTGACAGCCAAGATATTTTCATAATGTATTGATCACCAAGAATCGCGTGGATTTATCTCAATATTATATACCAAATTAGGTCTCAGAATGAACTTAATGTGCTAGCATAGTCTTCATAAGCTATTAAGGCACCCATGATCTGTTACGAAAGCAGTAACCATGCAAAATAGTACCACAACAATGACGAGATATGCTTTACAACATAACACAATATACCAAAACCAAACAAGGATTGAGACAAGAAATCAAATTACCAAGTAGCAAGATAGACAAGTATGCCTAATATAACAGTGACTCATATGAAATGTGTAATTAAAACCGAGCGCAAGTGGACTTCTTTGTACTTACATGGCTTGCCAACATGAAGAGCATCAGGTTATATGCAGCCCCTGCCCATGCTGTTTGTGTCACAACACCAGTAGCCTTAACAATTTGCGATGAGAGTGGAAATATAAGAAAAAGTCTTGGCAGATACTGGAAAATGAGAATGAAGCGAAGGACATTTTTCGTGTTCATCGTGGTTGAACCACCGAGATTGGGGATGATGACCCACATTAACACCTGAAATGTAAACAATAAACAAAGGCCTTAACATGTCAGAGGCTCGAACCAATATGGTAAAATTAAAAAGGCTCCAATTGATTAATTTGCTTGACATACCTGAGGAAGGGGCAGTGCAGCAAGGACATCAATCCAAAAGCCTTTGCGCAAGTACCTTAATGCAATCTTCGAAGAATCTATAACAAGCTCACCTCTCCCAAATACACGAGAAGAAGGTGCAACATAAGCTGTACGAAAGCGAACAAAAATCTGAACCATGTAAAACACATCGGCGATTGATCTTATAATTGTGAGGACAACTTCAAGGGTGATTCCAATATCTATGCAAACATCGCCTCTGACCATTGGCAAGTAAAAGAACAAAGGGTCCACAAATAAAGAAATTAAACATGCTACTAGGAAAATCTTGTTCCATCTGCGAATGGTTGGTCCTCGAGGATCCAATATCTTTTTCTTAACTTTTTCATAGTCCTCAGAAAATACTCTGGACAGTACTTTAGATTTCAATGATCTTCCAGCCTTGTGAACCTCCTTCTCAACCTTCTTAGAGCTTGGCCCTGTTATTTGCCTTCCATCAATTTTATACTTGACTTTAATCATATTATCTCCATTGATTTGTGGGAACTTGGCTAATTCAAGATCATCTTGGAATCTGATATTTTAATACAAACATTTAATTCATAAGCTGATCGATCATCAAAATTCATTTGGCAAATTCAAACTATGCAATGATGATAAACAAGACAACAACAATCAGAGACTAAAATATCGAACACTTATCAAACTATAAGCTGATTGATCATCTAAATTCATTTGGCAAATTCAAACTATGCAATGATGATAATAAACAAGATGACGATCAAAGACTAAAATACCGAACAATTATCAAACTATAAGCTGATAGATCATCTTAATTTATTTGGCAAACTTAAAACTATAGAATGATGATAAACAAGACAGTAACAATCAGAGACTAAAGTATCAAACACTTGTCAAACTATAAGATGATTGATCATCAAAATCCCTTTGGCAAATTCAAACTATTATACCACTGATGATAAACAAGACAATAACAATCAGAGACTAAAGTATTGAACACTTGATCAAATTAAATTCGATATGAAACAGAAATGAAGAAAAGAGTTCAAAGGGACCAAACCTTACAGATCTTGAATTACCATAAGCCATGGCGCTTAATGAAAAAAACTCACCGTGGCTCCAATAAGAGGACTTGATCTGCGGTATGATATAGATATAGGTATATGAATATCAGGAATGAATCAATCACCGGAAAATGACCGGTGATGAGTCTGGAGCCACAATATTAAATGAAACCTTCTATGGCTTCTCCCAGCAGGAATCATGTGAAGTAAGTGAAAAGATAGATACAAACTTTACATAGTATTTAAGAATCTCCCTCCTTTTAAGACCAAAAGTATAAGTCAAACATGTGACCAATTTTTTTTGAATTCCTTTTTGTTTGTTGCCTTAGAACTTACATAAACACATTGTTACCCACCTTCATTAAAATCCTGAGATTTTGAATTCAATTGAAGTAGGGAGTAGTCTAATTTTTTTTTTTTTGGATGAAATGGAATCAGTCAAACCTAAGAATTATAATTATTTTTCCTAATTCATATGAAAATTGTAAAATATACCCAAAATCTAACAAAGAACTACAGAAACATGAATGCAATTAGAAAGAGATTTCATTTACACAGAGCAGATACAGAAGCAAAAGGAAGAAAAAAAATTTTTTTGAGTAGTTTATAAACTATGACGACTAAAAACTACATAATTTAAAGTTTAGTCAATAGGGATTTAATAAAAGAGAAGAAGAGTATTGAAATGGGTTACAATTATAATATTGATCTACAAGAAAAATAAAAGTTTTGAATTGGTCTGATCATGATTCCGCTAAAAGAGGAAAAGGACTGCTGCAAGAGAGTTTTAGAGAGAGAGAGAGAGAGAGAGAGAGAGAGACTTATAAAAAAATAAATAAATAAAATCTAGTGAGAGACTTACAGACTCAATAGAAGTTTCTAATATGACTTTGCTGCTCCTTGTAAGTCAAAACTTTCTCATTCCATACTGGTTGATTTGCTGCTCCTTGTAAGTCAAAACTTTCTCATTCCATACTGGTTGATGGTTCTCACCATTAAGAAGAACAAATGAAAACCCAAAAAGAAAACATTTCATATACAAATTCCCACAAGAAACAAATTGAAAATTGGAAAGAATTATACAGATTGGGTATGTGGGATACAATATACAGATATGTATATATATATATTTGTCAGAACATGGAGAGAACATGGAGAGAGAGGCTCTCTCCTTGTTCTTTTCACCCACAAAAGACTTGGATTTGTTTGATTTGCGGTTCAGAACTTTGAGAAAAGCAAAGAAAAGATATACGGAGTATGCAGTTTAGTTACAAATGTATGTACATATACGAATATGTATATGAATATGTCTCTCTCCAGACAAGAGGAGGTTCAGATTGGGGTGGAAATGTGGAAGATGTTTTCTTATTTTATTCATTAATAATCTGTTAATTATTACTATTGTTTTTAAAGATCCGAGGAGTTCACAAACGTGGATACTCTTTTACTTTTGGCCTGCTTTTCTGTACCCAATTGATACAAATACAAATTTAATTTAAATAATAGTGCAAGTGTTTTCATATCGGGCAATTTAACAAAAATATATATACAAATTTAGGGTGTATTTGGATAGGTTGATTTAGAGGGAGATGGAGGGAAAAGAAAAGAAAAGTAAGAATAGGGTGTGGATGTGTTTGGGTGGGTTAAGTGGAGAGAAAAGAGATGATAGGTCACTCTCTATCCCTCATTTGGTTTTTCTCATAAATTTTTATTTATTTTTTTATTTTTTTTCCTAGGTCGTACTCACACACACTTATCTCTTTTGAGACTTGAATCCATGACCTCTCTTTGGGAAGTAAGAAGCTAATACCGTTAGGCCATTGGCCCGTTGGTGGTTTCTCTCCCATTTTGAGAAGATCGTTGGTAGTTTCTCTCCCATTTTGAGAAGATATGAAGAGAAAGCATAGAGACTTGGATTCTCTAAGTTAAATCTTCTCTACGTTATCTTAAGTTGAATTCTTTACAGATTGATACATGACATTTAAAATCTATCTATTACTTGTGTTAAACCAAGTCAACTAATTTAAAGAAAATTTAAAAACTGCACCGTTTTGAGGTAAGAAAAATTTACCAAAGTTTGAAAACTGCATTGTTTTAAAATAAAAAAAAAATTCACCATACTTTAATAACGTTAGATCGCTCCCTTTCTCTCCTCTTGCTTATTCCCACAATTGAGGAATATTTCGCGCCAAAAATGAATGTGCAAATTAAAAGCCTCTGTAATGGATTTTGTAGTTTAAATTTTTTAAAAAAGAGGAATTTTGCAATTTAGATTTTAGAAAAAGATAGTTGAAAAAAACAGAGGAATTTTGCTATTTAGATTTCAGAAAAAGAGAGTGAAGCAGAGTTTCTATGCTCCAAAAATTGTGGGAAAGAACATTTATTTTTGGCATGAAATATTCCCCCAATCGTGTGAATGAGCAAGATGAGAGAGAGGGAATGATCTTTTTTGGAAATAATGAGAGAGAGAAGGACGTTAACATCATTAAAGTATGGAGAATTTTCTTTATTTCAAAACTGGTTTTAATTTAAATTCAAATACTAGCATTGGTTCGGACCACCCATTTGTGAAACTCATCTGAATAAGCCCTAGCCAAAAATTAAATTAAGTCCAACACAGGCCCAATTCTGTTAACCTGACTTTACAACCAAGCCCAAGCCCGAACCGGACCGGGTCGGGTCGGATGAACGGGGCCCGCCTATGTGTAGTAGATGGTTTGGACCTAAGCTTACCTAGGTCCTCCCCCTCTTAAAAACTTGTGTGCCTGTGGGCCCAAACCAAATCACAAACTTGGCTTATTTAAACTTCAATTGGTTTCAACATTTTTTCTATGTGAGACAAGCACTTCCCACATTTTGCATACCCATTTAGATTTATCAAACACCTTATTTTGGAGCTAATTTATCATTCACTTGGAAATAGATTTGAGAAAGTAAATATACCACGTTCATCTCCTTGCAGAGAGGAACACGTTCGTTTATAGATCCAAAGTTTCTGTTTTGTTTGCCCCGTTTCCAACATTCCCCCACATGAATGGAAATTGGTGTCAATTGCAAATGATAAAAATACAAACACTAGAGAGAGTACTATTGGAAAGTTACTGCATCAAGATAGGTAACTTTTGGCCTTGAAACATCCCTAGTATATTACTATCAGATTTACTGACTAACCAGTGAACATGATGTCTTGAACTGTTCAGCCATTGATGTAAACCAAGACAATAGCAAACACACAGTTCCTTCCCGCACAAAGTCGGTTCTCACGGTTGTGTTCATATAGCCCTGAACAATTCCTGGTATTTTATGAGTGCTCCAGAAAACTTAGCCTTCGAAGTTCTCATAAAAAAGGCCCCATTTCACACTCATATAGGTGACCTCTTATTAAGAGTATGTTACCATACCCCACTTGAATTTTCAAGATATAAGAGTTATTAAAAACATGGCTTATCCTAATCCTCATTGTAGGTAGCACTGTTTCATTATAAAAATGGGTAGAAGATTAAATCTTCCCAGTGCTTCTGGTGAGTCATTCAGAATTTCTGTTGTCCCTTTAAACCTAGATCTTGGGATCTCTTGTCAACTAGGTTAGGTTTCCATTAAGATAACTCGTTAGCTTTCGACCTTAATCTTATTCCCCTCGATGAACTATACACTTGCTCTCTTATCAAACCTTTTGTAAACGGATCCACTAAATTATCTTTACATATGATATAATCTATTGAGATTATCCCACTTGAGAGCAATTGTCTAACGGTATTATGTCTTCGACATATATGTCGAGACTTACCGTTATACATATTACTTTGTACCTTTCCAATTACTAATTGACTATCACAATGTAAACAAATAGTGAGCACAAGTTTAGGCCAATTTGGAATATCTTCTAAGAAATTACGAAGTCACTAAGCTTCTTCACCAACTTTATCCACTTATGGATTTAGAATCATTTGTATCAGCTATCAAATTAGCATCACTGTATCCTTTAAGTACTGCTGGATATCTTGAATAATGTAATCCATAACTTATGGTATTTCTTAAATACCTTAGAACCTGTTTATTGCAGCCCATTGGTTCTTTCTTGGATTGGTTGTATATCTACTCAATTTATTAACTGAGTATGCTATGTTTAGTCGTATTCAATTCATCAAATATATTAAGTTTCTTATAATGCGAGAATACTCAAATTGTGATATGCTAGAACCAGTATTTTTCAATAAATGAATATTTACATCAACAGGAGCCTCTACAAGACTACTATCTTCTTGATTAAAATTTTCTAAATTTTTTTCAATATAGTGAGATTGAGATCTGATGTTCTAGAAATCTTGATTCCTAATATAACATCAGCTGTGCCTAAATCTTTCATATCAAATTTTTTTGTCAACTTATTTTTAGTAGTTTTGATTATGATATCATTACTACCCATTTTTAGCATATCATCCACATATAGGCACACAATGCCATATCCATTTGAAGTATTTTTCACATAAACACATTTATTACACTCATTGATTTTAAAACCATTTGACAACATCACCTTGTCAAATTTTTCATACCATTGTTTAGGTGCTTGTTTTAATCCATATAGGATTTTACAAGCTTGCACACCTTCTTTTCTTTCTCTGGAACTATAAAACCTTCAGGTTGTTCCATATAATTTCCTCCTCTAATTCATCATTCAAGAACGCAGTTTTAACATCCATTTGATGTATTTCTAAATTTTACAATGCTCCAATAACAAGTAATAATCTAATGGATGTTATTCTTGTTACTGGTGAATATGTATCAAAATAATCTAAGCCTTCCTTTTACCTGTATCCCTTATCAATAAGCCTGACTTTATATTTATCAATTGAACAATCAGGCTTCAACTTCTTCTTGAAAATCCACTTATACCCTAAAGGTTTGGTACCAGGAGGAAGATTCACCAGCTCCTAAGTATGATTTTTTATGATGGATTCAATTTCACTATTAATTGCTTTTTTCCATAAAGGAGCTTCAGGAGAAGTAGCTGTGAAGACCAATTCTTCTTTTTCCTTTTCCGGTTTTTTTTTTTTTTTTTTAATTTTTTTATTTGATTTATTCTTTTTCCGCGTTGCCTTAGGGTTTTGTGCGCCCAAGGTAGGCTTTGGTGCTCGGAACTGATTTCCGACACCACGTGCATTGCATTATTTTATATTTTATTGCCTGCGTAAGTCTTTATTTTCTTTGTAAAGCATGCTCGTTTATTTTAAATTTCCAAGGGTATGGATTCATAGTTTCTTCGGAAACATTTTTGTTTTACGGGGTGTTTTATGTAATTATGTTTTTGAGATATTTTTGCTTTAGGACCATTTTGCAAATATTTCTTTGAGATATTTAGAGGAAGGACCTCTTTGCAATTCTTGAAAGATGTGACAAGTGTCACTTTTTCCATGGACCACATGTTGACTTTCCTTTCGATACTTTTAGAAGCCTAGGATGGTGACAAGTATAAGGCTTGGATCAAGCCTTGTGAGGAGGCCTAGGATCATGACAAGTGGAGGGTAGATGTGTGTGGGTGTGAGGTAGTGTTGGTGCAGTGTATTTGACTACAGAAGGCCATTTTGTTAGTGGAGAATCTTGTGAAAAGTTGTTTTCCTTACTTGACCACTATTGAAGCACCTTGAAACCCTAGCCACCATTTTCAGATTTGACCCTTTTCCCTTGGGATTTTGATCTTCTACCCTGAAGACAAAAGTTCCCTCTCTTACTTCTCTAGAACATCTTTGTTCAGTTTTTCCATTTGCTTTTGTTTGCCTTTTATTCTAGAGGAATAATCCTTTAGTGAGTTAGGGGTT